CAGACATGAGGAAAATGCAAAAAGTAGAAAGAAAGTTAAAGAAAGGGGAAAAGTTAAATAAAAGGGATAACCCCAAGAAATGAGAAACCAGGACCTGTGACAAGAAGAATAGCTCAGCAATAACTTGACTTGATTATACCTTGCAAAGAATTTTACAAGTACTTTTCACATTGGCAAGTTTCAATACACAATTTCTGCACAATATTACTCAGTTTTATTCAAAACATAGCAAGTAATTAGGAGCTACATCCTAAGATAAGCAAGGCACCCTAAGAAAATGCTACAGATAAAAAGAACATCCTTTTGCACATTCATAAAAACAGCTACGCAGCACTAGTCTTCTAAAAGAGTTACGAATCCAAAACTGCTGCAAGTTTCCCTGATGCAAGGTTTTATACAACTGAAGATAAGCTTAAAAATCACCACTGGCTTTGAGATTTGTTTTAAGCTGTTTATCCAATATTGCTAATTTACATAGTAGTCTATATAAAGTAGACCTACAATGTGGTGGAAGAATTTGATATTTAAAATACCCACAGCAATCTTAGTCCAGAACGAACCGAAGTTATAAATTTTTTAAATTACATTTATGTGCATTACTAGGCAGTACTAAAAAATAAGCATATATTCCTAAATTGCATCAGAACACAGAGCTATCTGGTCACCCACCACCACAGCAGGTGTTCCTCTGACAGATGCAGTGTATTTACTGTGTATGGTCTGTAATCTACTTTTCAAAAGGGTTGCTAACAGACTATAGCCAATTATAAACCTATACTGAATTATCATTAGCATTTGCAGAACAAGTAACTTTTGCACATCTGCGCTAATAAATTTAGTCTATACAGCTGCTCCTGTAATCGTTACGTTCACATTCTGATAGCAGACCAATCCATGTTTCAGTGGATTTATACCACATCCTAATCTTCGAAGTATGTGACCATTTGTAGTTTATATTTAGATGTGCTGCTGAGGACAACAATACTGTATTAAAATCAGTAGCTACTGCTACAAAATAAAGAGCTCAAAGTATGGTTAAGTTCTAACAGTTTATTGATTATCATCTCTGGAAAAACGCTTAGTGTTATACAAAAGCCAAAACAGGCTGTGGAGTTTGGGTGTGTGTAATACAAGTACTGCAGAGACTATTAGCACATTTATATTCAATTTACATCCACTTAATATTTAAATTCACTTGCTGCATACATAACTCAAGATTAAGATACATTAAAATTTTGCTGGTGAATTTCTAAGGAAGGCAAAAAACAGACCACTCTGTTCCCATCTATAACCACAGATAGCCTCTTCCCAGGGCAAGAGGCATACAGGGAAGTGCTAGGCTTGACAGATAAAAGTCTAGAAGTATAATCACAAGGCCAATATGAGTTACATTAGGTACCTTTCCAGAGTTATAATTCTGTAGATTTTTTTCTTTAAGAAAAGAAGGAAAATTGTGCCTACTCTGTGTTCTGACTCAGGGACTCACACTGCTCACATTTTCACCAAGTTTCAAGAAAATAGAAGTTCCACAGAGAACATGGACTTACAGAAATCAAACAGTATAAGCAAACTTTTTTGTACAAGCCATATGAAAAACACCATATGCTTTTACAAATAAGGACCTGTGAAACACAAGGGCACTTATATTAACGTGCACTGGTAAAAAATAAGCAAGCATAAAAAATCCATACTGAGAAGCTTTCAGCATATGTATTATCCATGGGAGTTGGGAGTACCCAACCCATCTTCTCAGCTACCTGCAACAGTGCAGTGAGACCTCAACTACACTGACTGTATCCGAAAAACTTTTAGCAACAATAGCAGCTACTGTAAGTGACTTTGGGAAGTTTTACTACATTGGAAAGAGTATCTGAAAAATTCTAATAAAATATTAAATAAAGTGGACGTGTTACATCAGTGTAATAAATTTTATGAGTGCATCAGCATAATAGATGTGGCTGTTCTTAACTAAAAAAGCATAATTATAGAGGATGGAAAGAAACTGATCTATGTATTATGTCAAAAACATCACTCTGCTCTTATTTCATTACGGACGCAAAAAAAAAATGCAGCATCAGAGGAATCAGTATCTGATGCTGCAAGGACAAAATACTTTATTACTAAAAAAAAAAAATCCAAGCTTTCACAATCAAATGATGGTATATTACTTTTATAAGATCTAGAAAACTTACATAAACGTAGCGTACCTTTCCTGAGTTCTGTGACAGAGTGCTCTGATGACAGCTATCATAAACAATGCCCTCAAATCAGAGGGAACAGTGATAAAAGAAACAATATTAACATGTTCTGAAAACTGACTACAAATCTGCAGATAACTAAGCCTTACCAAAGAAAAAGTAAATTTGTTTTTCACAACGTTTTTCCCTTTTAGCTGAAAAAAGGAAAAATAATACAGGTAATTACAGCTGCTGTATCATTTCATGAATATCTATTTGGAAAAACACAAGGCACCTTAGAGAATATAAAATTAGATCTAAGAACGCAGCAATATTAATTGTAAAAAAGGACTACACAAAATCAACTATTAAGCCTTCATATTACTCCTTTTAGATTAATATTTCTTTTTTGACTAATACGTTGTTTGATGTTATTTTTGAGTGGCCAAGATCCACTGCTGATGTGTAAAATCAAGACTACAGCTACAACTACAGCTGAGTCAACTTCATTTTGAGAGGATTTGTGGAAAAGGCATTTGTTATTTTGCTTAATATACACACTAGGTGTCACTCAAGAACAGCATCAAAATACTGAAACTGTACCAGAAAAGGCAGAAGTCAATTCCTTTCATAAATATTTTTATTGATTTTTATACTGTTAACCCTCAGCGCCTGGATTCAGGATTTGTTAATCCTAAGTAATTATCTATTTAGCTAATTAGAAGAAAACTCTAGGAACCCTCTGGCTCACACTGACATCAGATAAAATATGGCAAGCTTAACAATCAATTAGTTTTGCTTCCTATGGCTTACAACATGAATGTTTAATTACTTGGCATTTACATTTTATCTTGTCCTGTGTTCAGACTGATGTATTCTTGGTCTGTGTGTTAAAAGGCCACCTAAAAAGCTGTTTTCCTATAATGCATTAAGTTATCCAGTGTTAAGAGTTATAAATGGATTGCAAACCTACTTCCAGTAGATAAACATCACGAAGGGGATCGCTCAAATTGCACACAAATATCTTAAACAATTTCTTCCTCCTCAAAACTGGCAACGGCTAGGCTATAATATAATTCTTCTCCATCGGGACCCAAAGCAACACTTTGTTGATATGTAACTATGCATTTTTTTCCTCTTCATACAGTATGTTCTCCTGATGCTTTTAAGCGGTATTAAACAGGTGGTTATTAGCCACCCGTTTTCAAGACACAGGAATGCATATTTATTCACTTTAACCAGATGAGTAAGCCTTAGTTATTTTCCATTCAATGACATAGCCACAGAAATGTAATTACTTATTCAAGACCACAGAGTAAGTGTATTAATGAGCTGCCATTAAATTGCACAGCCTTGGTCAGTAAATGTGGTGATAGCTTCTCCACTGGGGGTGGGGAGGGAGGAGGAGGAAGACTTTCTCTGCCCCAAATACGGTCCTAGCAGATATGTGAGCTCATGTTCTTTGACACTGCCTCATGCAAAATCCTAAAGCAGACTCTTTTACTAATATGCTAAGTAGGAGAAAATATAATTTGATTTTCAGATTTCAGTCTGAAAATGCAGCCTTTTAGTTAAAGGAGCAAAGAGAGGGAGAAGAGGAAAACAGAGACAGAACTTGCTACATCAAAGTGAGAAGATGAGATGACAAAAATCCAGAATTTCATGTCATCATTTTCCAGACCATTTTTCATATTACAGTTGTGTTAGGCTAAACAGTGTCGTTCTTAGTATAAATATTATTCTCACTACAAACTACACATTAATGCAAATGAAGCAATATACTTCTGAGGTTTTTGGTTTGGGTATTTTTTCCCCATTTTTAGAAGGAGAGGTGAAAGTTGAGAACATTTAACAGATAGAACTTATGCTAAGACTTTTGTTGTGCATTATAAAAAATATTTTATATATTAGGCTTTCATCTGTCCCAGTGTTATTTTCTCACATCCAAATATATTTAAGCAATAACTCTAACTAAAGAAGTCCCTTGGAAAATGAGCTCTCATAGTCTATTTTTCTTTAAATTAAAGACATTGTAATTTAATTATGCAAAAGTTCACTAGCTAACATTTCCTCCCTAGACACTGCAAATGCTATAATTGCCAGTGCTGGGGAAAAATAGGCTCCTGGAAGTTAAAAAAATATTAAACAAATTAACATTTCACACACTCAGATCAAACTGATATGCCATAGTTGACAACTCTTATCCTTTTATTTTCCTTGTGCTGCAAGACCAAATACTGCAGTCATAATAGATGCCTGCATCTGAAAGGAGTAGAGCCCAAACTCCTGCTGTGACACATTCAAAATAAACACAACACTGAACTTCATACTGACAAAGCGCAGGGAAAAAGTACTGTTGTTTTGAACTAGCCCTCCATAAAATACAGAAGCAAGAACCTATTTAATTCAGAAAAAAAAAAAAGAAAAAGACTATTTTGAAAGCTTTAGCCTAACAGAGGTTGTGCAACTATTGATCACTTGCTCCCAAATTCTACTGAAAAAAAACCCAGGACACTTTCAAAGTGTTGATCCTTAGTTCCTTAGGACAGATATATTACTGTATGATTTCCAAGTCTTTTGAGAAAATCTCTTGCCTCTGGATACTCACTCAGCCAACACCCCCACTGCATAATAACTTTTTATTGTTGGTGTATCTGAAAACTTAATGCACACTCTTTTCTGCCTTTCACCTTGTACAGTCATGGACACCTACTGTCGTTTTGACTGACACCTAGTTTCACCTCTCATTGTAAATATTTAAGTTAGCATATAATGACAAAGAGATTTAAAATAAAAAATAGTTTCATGGCACGGAAAACTTACTTCAAAAAGAAAAAGAATGGAGTCCAGCTCCTCCCTTTGTGATTTATTCCCTGCAAGACAGAAAATGACATTGTTTGCCCTAAATATACAATATGAAGCAGAAGGCAAAACTACGCTGTTGCTATTCAACAAAGATATTAGTCAAAGATGTTGCACTTGGTTTCTTTTTCTTCATCTTTATCTAATATCGAAGAGCAAGAAATTGACTCTCTCTCTTCATTATGAATGAGGGACATCTAGAGTCCCAGACCGGCAAAGCACTGTCATTGTGCTCATCTCCAAGATAATGCCTATTCCTACTGACGTATCTTCAACAGTGAGATTTGTTCTGTGGATCTATGATGATGTTTCAGCTGGACAGACATATGTGTAATTGTAGGATGAAGGCCTTCAATACTTCCAAACAAGATGAAAGGACACTTATATAGATGCACAAGCCCTGATTTTTGTGCTAAAATGACACTTGGTCATAGAAATGTACTTAGAATTCTCATCAGTTTTTTATGACATTTCAGAGAGCAATTTTCCATGCTCATCTCTTCTGATACCATAAAATTAAAATATTACTACTAATTAATAATACATGAAACTATTAATGCAAATATAGACAATTGTGAACTCTATAATCATTAGATAAGCTCGAACAGAATGCTTTTGAGAATAGTTAGGGAAAACTGACTCAACAATTGCTGGCAAAACTCTAAAACTTACCTTTTTGTTTCAAGCTATTCTCCAGTGTTATGAAATTTTCATAGAATATGAAATAAATTTGAGAATAATTGTTCTCAAAAAATTGCTTCAGGTCACTTCCATCCACAATATCTGAAAAGAGGAACAAACAGGAGTTACTACACAAAATCAGAAAGCTGAAAATTGTTGTCTTCATGCAAATTTAGTGTTAGAGAATGCAATAAATGCCATAGTTACTTCAATAAATATTCTATACTAAATTGTGATTCCACGCTTGCAAGTGAAATAGGGAAATTTCCATTTCCATTTAGTTTATGAAAATTAGCAGTATGGCTTAGGTTCACTTGTTCACAAAAAAAAAAAAGATGGGATGTGTCTTAGCTATCTAAAAGGGTTCTGTATCATCAAAAAAAGCAGGTACTGTAGGAAAAAACAAACACCAGCAATGAATTCTGTATGCAAATTGCAAATCCAGTTCTTATATTTATCTGACAAGCAGATCAATTCAGAAAACATCATATTTCCAACTCATTTAAAAAAAAAAAGAATGGAAACCAACGCATGCATCACTTCCCTAAGCCTTAACTTAGATCTAAAATTTGAAATGTTTATTTAAGGAAAAAAAATCTAATGTTTTCTTAAACCTGATACTTGCAAAACATACTTTAACTTCATCTGTTTACTCTTTATTGTAACTGATTTGGTCAAGAAAAAATAGACGATTCCACATAGAATAGGATAGTGGGCAAAAAATTATTAGCAACACATCTTCTTGAAGTTTCAGCTCTGGAGAAACCTGTTCATTAATCAAAACAACAAAGCTGATTGCAACAAGAAGACCCAATAATATCATACAACTACAGAAGAAAGATTGACTTTAGACTGGACAATGCTTTTTTTCAAAAAATTAAAAATTAATACCTTTTCAGTAGTGAGGCTTTGTTTGGTTGCTTGTACTACGGAAACAATTAGTGCATGGAAACCCTTTTACATGCCATTTGTTTCCTACAAACTACTGGTCTTGAATTTGCAAGCTAAGTGCAATTATTCCTCTCTATGAATGCGTTCTGTTAAATACAACTCTAGGAGAAAACAAGGCTTTCATTTACAAGAATTTCATATGAAGGAATGAGGTCATTAAAATCTAAACAAAAAGGAAACCTTCCCTTTAAATTGTGAAAGGAAGAGAAAGGAACTGCCTAATCAAAAAAAGTAAATTCTTCCTTTTCTATAAATGTGGCATTTCAGTGGTGACTCATCCATTATTCTGATGTAAGCATGCATTCTTACGGCTACATCCTTTTCCTATTGAACTATTTTGTTCCTTATATTCCTTTGCAAGATATATAGGAAAACAATTTCTAATCTTAAAAGAGGCCAACAGCAATACTCCCATTTACTATCCTAAGAGTAGATATTCACTCAGAAAGTAAGATTTTCTGGCAATTGTGCATGTGAATTGTCATTCTGATACCACTCATTTCACTTTAAAAAAAAAAAAAATCCAAAATGTAAGAATAAGCCACACCCCCAATAACTCCATTGTTCAGAGATACAGCTTCCTTGGGCATTTCACTACCAAATTTCTTATTTTTTGCAGACATTAAGAAAACACCACTTCTCTACTCCACCACCCGTGTGTTCATGGTGATGAGCAGTGCTGACCATGATGGCTTCATCCTGCTCCTCTGGCCACCGGAGAGGCAGGCGATGTCTCTGTCTGGAAGGACGAATAGCCAAGCCATCGACAATGCCCTTTCCAGAGTCTCTCTCCCCTCTAACATCATGTCGAATTGTAGGAAAAGCACTTCCAGGCAGGCTGCACCACGGCAAGCACATCCCAGTCTCGCACCCTCCTTCACTGCTCTCCCTACAACCGGGCTTTTCCCATCCACTTCACCAAATAACAATTGTCACAGACAAACAGACCACGAGAAGAAAGGCTGCTTCTCAGGAGGGTTTACTAGAAGTTGGCAGGAAGCCTAAAACAGTAACTTGGATCACTACAATGTATATATATGTTTAATTTGTAGCAGGGTAAGGCTCATTCTTCTGTTTTTCAAATGGAAAACATCAGTGAAAGTTTCGTGCACTATTTATCATTTAAGATAAAATAATGACTTTTGGCAAATCATATTGACTGAATAAACAGCAAGGTTGGGATTGAATTGCAGGTATTAGGTTATATTTTTATATTTATATTTTTACATTTACTCATAAATAGCTCTCAGATTACTATTGTTGAAAACAGTCACCTAGAGAATTCAAAGCTCTGAGCACTAAAATCTAAGGCAAGTTGGCAATCATTATCAGCCACCACATACATAGCAGCTTTCCAAAAACATGTATAATCTATCTCTGTTCCCCAAACAAGGATAGGTGAGCCATTGCCTAATACTTCTGATTAATACTTCACAGCTTTTACAGCAACATACAGGAAACAGGGAGACATTCGTACACATGACATTTCTTCTGTATAAAATATGAAAGAGTTGGCTCGTTAGATAACTGCAAGTCACCCTTACCTGCCTTACTAATTAAGTTTAAAATATAGGGAAACAAACTATTCAGGTACCATTTAATAAGAATGTGAGTTTATTGCCAAGCTCTCATTACTCTTCCTGGTATAAAAAAAAAAAATAAAAATCTAGAGGAAACAATAATTGTGTGCTTCACACACCAGCTTTCCTTTTATTTTTCTGTTAACTACCAAATCTTACTGCAGTTATTTAAGTAGCTAGAAATCCTCCCGTAATTCATAAACTTCCAAAGTCACTTGACCTTATGCTATTTATACAAAGTCCTTTATCCTTAGTACTTTAAAAAATAAAGATGAAGAGACAACTTTGCAGTCATACCCTGGTTAATGATAAACTTTTATTATTAGCCTCACCCCAGAAACTACATACAATTTTTCACATAGCTTAAAAAAAAACCAAAAACACAAAAACAAAACAACAAAAAAGCCCCATTTTTTCAGATTAGTGCTTTAAATGATAAATAAAAGCCTAGAAAATAATTTTCTTTAATTTTTTTTCAAAGGAATGTCAGCATGGAAACATACCATTACTAAATAACCCTCCAATTAGAACAATTTCTAAAATAATTTTAACACTTGAAATTTCACATGAAATCTAAGGAACAACGGCTGTTCTAAATTCAGCAATAAGTATGGAAGCACTCATTTTTGAATGCCTCTAAATGAAAATTTCTATTAGGCTTGTATTAATCTAGCTGTACAGAACTGTGCACCCAAGACAGTGCCATAGTTTAAAAGCCCACTACTCTCCTTTATTGTCTCATTTTTGATTGAGGAATTAAATTAAAAATATAGGTTTTCTTAATTTATATTTTTTAAAAGAAAAAGATTAAGGATTGCACTTAGTAACCTAACAAATTTCATATTTAATCTAAACTGAAGTCTGTGTATAGCAATATCAGGTCTACCATGTATTTGTCCATTGCTCAACAGAGAAAAGGATAAAAGCAATGGACATGAGCAGCACCCCACTTCTGTCAGCAGTAGTACTCATAATATACACCAAAGCACAAAACATTGCCATTTTCCAGTTCAGGCTTTATATAGCGGTTTCTTCAATAACACAGTTGAAATACATCTAAAGTACTGTAACTTTGGAAACAGCCCAGCTTTTACACACGCATCCAAGAGTGAAGTGCCACAGCACAAGCTCTGAAGTGCACATTATTAATTCAAACACCAGCCTGCACCCAGCCTTCTGATGCACAATTTAGTCCATCAGTATGCTCAAAACCAAATGTGAGCACATATATGGTCTAACAACCCACCTCAGCAAATGTCAAGGTTCAGAATCCACACAATCCATAAATCTGTAAAATAATTTGGGCTTGGTGCAGTTTGCAACTGCACCAAATCAGTGCTACTTCCAAAACAAGGTTATCAGCCTTAAGATTATTCAGTATAGAAAAACTGAAAATCCAGACCCTCAGTTCAACTTAATTTTTGTCACCATCTTCCAGGCAGCTCACAACATATTCAAGAGCAGCTACAGGTAAGCTCCCATTTTTCTTTATTTCTAAGTGTCATATGAATGGTGGTGGCCAACTTAAATCACCACACACTGTTCACAGCCCCTACCTGCAGACCAACTTTATAATTTCCAGCCTCAAAGTTCTCAGGTAAATCACACTCTGAAATTAATAAGAATAACACGCCATGAAGAAATGGCTCATCACCTTCATAAATAAAACCATAAAAGTAACACTTATCCAATTTTATGCATGAGCAAAAAGTGACATCATCTAGACTACACAGCAGTAGCTGTTGTTCCTATTGCACCATTATTCAAAAAAGTTACTGCATCATGACAGAGCAATTCTTAAAACCAGAAGAAGAATTCAAGGGAAATACACTAATCAATGCAAAGATTTTAAACTAAACATTTCAATTGTACCTGAGGAGGAAACATTGAAAGATATGTTTCAATTTAAAAAAAAAAAAAAATTACCCAAGAACAGCCACAGAAAAAAAGTCTTAAAGAGTAGAGATAAGTTTTTATGCTATAAAAAATCCTGCAGAAACTACTCTGGGAAACAGTATAGAGGGTTTAATTTACAGGCAGTCTGAATGAAACAAACTTGTATGTTGCCACTATCATTTATAAGACCATTATTTTTCACTCAATCCTAAAAAAAAGATTACACTATTGACACTTCCACACACTGTATTTGGAAAAAAGTTCCTACTGACCATACAAAAGTTCCAAAATTTAGTACAACTCTATAGCAATTGAAAAAAAAAAAAAATTCTCTGGTCATTTACCTAACAAGCAAACATCCACTTTAAAATAATGTTGTTATTCTGGTTAATGTTTTGCATCATCATACAGGTAGACTACCCCACAGAAAAAGGAACTCGGATCCTAAAGGGCATTAGAGACTTGAAAGATGTTATAAGCAACCCAAATTTAAAGGGAATCTTTTATTTCAGTTTGGATATTGGACAAACTTACACAGAGGGTAGCTAAGAGACCTGAAGAAATCAAGAACTGGATGTTACTGATCCTGGTGCTCACACAACACCTTATTTACAGAAATAAACATTCCTTGCCCTCATTCCTCCCCTATTACCATCTTTTCTCTGATTTTTATCCTCCTACATCAGTAGGATCTCAGAAGAGTAACTGTCATTTTGTTTACAATTTAATTCCTGTGATTTAAAACTAACAAAGGAAGGAAAGATGGCATCATCTAAGGAAACATAAAAACGTGAGCAGTTATTTTGAGAATATGTGTCGCTATGGCCTGAGTGTATTTGGGGACAGGGAGTGAAACGACTGGGGTGGGAGGAATGCTAAGACACACACATTCCTATCCCTGGCCAGCACAAGGAGTGCCACATTTGGGGGGGGTGGAAGAAGAAATATCCAACTATTTTTGAGCCTTTATACCAGAAGCTTTGCTTTTCTTAAATACAGGAGAACTACTTACCATGTGTTGCTTCACGTTCTGTGCTGAATAATACCAGAAAACACACACTTGCAATGATATCTGTGGAGATACTATCTTCAAAAAGCCACTCCCATATTATCTAAAATGTTTACATTGACATTCTCAAAAGCAGACATCTCAGAAACAGAAGCAAAGCCTGCTTTGACATAGTCCCTGCCATAAAACATATCCACTAGGAGACAGCCAGTCGCCATATCACAGCACTTCAGCCAATAAGCCACTAATATGCTACCCAGCCCACTGGCAGTGATAACAATTTTCACTTAAACCCAATGTTCAATAGTAAGTTTAATCAAAAAATCAGGTCACTATCTCCAAATGTAACAGACACTTGGAAGAAAAGATATTTCCTGAGAAGTGACGGATGTATTTTTTTCCCCCTTGCCAACTGGGTAATAAGCATCTTTACAGAAAACCACCAGACAACACTACCTTGTGTACCATCTGCTTTGGGACATAAATTAATTCTGTCATGCTAATAGGCATATTTTGCCATTTGTTCCACCCATCAGGTCTGTTACAGGAGCCTGACAACCTCCTCTGTACCACACAGGCATACAAAAACAACACTCCAGTAAAATGGGTATAACCAAGAGCCATAGCAAGCTCAGTATTTCATCTTAAACTAGTCATGTCTTAGTTTCAGATGTGTCTGAGAGGCTGAAAGTGGAACATTAAGAGAAAGTTGCTATATATCTTATTTCTTCAAATTCATTCATTTTAGTGAGGCTGGTGGAAAAGGAAGAAATTTAAGGTCCGCAAGTTCACACTACAGTTTCTTAGATCAATCTTTCTCAGAATGGTTTCACAACACACTTTAAACCTCATCTCATAGACAAAAAAATTCCCAAATCTTTTTACAATTAAATTGGACATTATTTTAATATTGTTTATACAGCACATGAGCAATAAGATGTTGACAGTTAAAGGGCATATCATAACGCAGTTATCTTCTCCTGTCATTAAAAATTCCTGCCCTTAGGCACTTAGATACATGGTATGATTTAAAACACAAACAAAAAAACAATCAAAAAAACCCAAGCAAACAAAATATTTTCTGTGCCTCCAGTCCAAGAAATATGTATCTTTGGTCACCAGAGAGAGATTAACACAAAGATGACCACCAGGTGGCTAACTATGACGATTTTTACATACACTTGAAGAACAGGAGGAATTTATACCCAGAGTAGTCACATACCCTTCATTCATAGCTAACTCCAAAGCAAAGGTTCAACACTGTTCACAAAACCCATGAAGACTGGCAGGTGCTGAGGGCCTCTGACACGTGAGCCTTTTGTCTCACACCACCAGCCACAGTAGTCAGAACTGCTTGACTTGTGAGTCCAAAT